TACAAAGACCAGGTACAACAGAGCAGATTTTCTTTTTTTTTGACACAGGTTTTTCTAAAGTTATTTTAAAATAATAGGGTAACAGCACACTATCAATGGTTGACTGATATAAAGCTAGAAGTAACTGAAGGATTTCTCTGTTGTGGAAGTACCTGGTGTTGTGTTTTGAGGTAAGTAAAAATTATAAGGCAGTTTTTAAATAATTTGAGACTGTTTATAAGATTGTCTTTATTATGAAATAAAATGACCAAGTATTTATATAAAAAAGAATATCTGCTGTACCACTATCATTAGAGTATCTTTGAAGTTGTTATCATTTTCCCCGTGTGTATCCTGTTACCTTTAACTGCTTATTTTGTAATATGTTACACTTGGAATTACTGTCATCTTAGACACATTGTACTTCCATATCTTTAGTAAGCTTAGTCACTGTGTTCTTGTAACCTTGTGATATGATAGTACTAACTATCTATATTGGGTAATTGATTCCTTAACTATTCTTAATGTATTGATGTCATAGATATGGATTTATGTAATGTAGCAACAATATAGCAGATCACCACATTATCCCAACCCAGGTATTAACTAATACCGTTCAAGTCTATATTTTTTTTATTTTATTTTTTTTATTTATCAACTTAGTCAAAGTATACTTATACATTTGTATAATGCTCTTCATTATGTCAAATTTCAATTAAACTTCCTCAAATAACACTCATTTAGGATCTATTTGTTTTCTTGCTTTGATAAACTGATCTTGAATTTCTTTTTCTTTTTCTCCCTGAACTTGGATGGGTTGGTTTATTTAACATTTAATAAGTTGTGGTCAGCCTCCCTGCTTGGAAAATCGCCTTATTTAGAGTTGTGATACCTTCTGGGGGGATACAAAACATATTTGGGCATTGTATACCTTCCATCTATGTCGAGCAATTTTTATAAAAAAACAAAAAATTGAAATAAAACAATCAATTCTTATATAAATCAACTGAAATTGAAACCACAATATGTTAACATCATGATACGCAACGGTACTTAATATGAGCTTAATTTCAGGGGGTCAAATTTTACTCGACATATATGGTTATCTGTATACCTTCTATATACAGCGAGTAGATTTCGATATTTTGCTATGTATCCCAGAGTTTTTACTCAAATAATTTGAAACTTTAACCTCATATTGTTGATGTTGTAAGAAAGATATATACAAAGTTTCAGCTCAATACAACGATCAAAAATGTACTCGTTAACTCGACATATATGGAAATTTGTGTATCGAATAATTTTCACATTGATAAAAAGTATTAGACACGTTATAAATCACTGGTATCCGGACTTCTTTTTTTTTTTTTTTTTTTGGTTTTTTTGACATCTGTTGAGGAGGTTATAAAAAGACGTCCCGAGCAGTAAGTTGTAAAAGCGAAAAATAAGGAAAAAATGTACTGTAAATTATTTGCACATTATAAAAATGTTGGTGTGACAATATTCTTTGTGCCGGTTGTTTGATTGAATGTTTCAGTTTATTGCTGTATTTACAGCTGAAGTGACTATTATGAAAAAAAAAAGGAAAGAAACGTATCATAAAAAATATACTGTATTTCCAGCTATTTGAACTATTTTTGTTCCGGAAACTCTAATTTGAGCAATATTTTCGACTAAAGTGAGAACTACTTATACCAATATTAAGCAATCAGATATGTGTTCTGTGTTCGCGGTTTTACATTTTTAAAAACATAAAATCTGATCGCATTATGTATATATATATATTAAAATGTGTAACTGCATTTGGCGCACTGCTGCATTATTTTTAAAATAAACATAAGATTTTATGAAAGCGCCATACATTTGGAAAAGTGCGCCTGTTAAGGCGAATCCACTTTACAAATTATAAAAAGACAAACTCAATAGAGCAGCAGATAATGATTGTCTTCCATGATCACTAACAGAATAAGCTTTTATAAATATAGCAGATAAAAACAACCATCAGAAAATGCTTCATTTTAAGAACTCAATCAAATACCTCGGGTGGCAAACAAAAAAAAAGAAAAAAAAGAAGACAAACATTGGTTTATAAAAATAAATCAATGCTATGCCCAACGCGCGATTCAAATACTCTTCATTTATTTCCAGTTAATAATAGAATAACTTTCAGAACACCAGTTGTTTGAATGAGTGTCAACATTATATATTATTTGTGTGTTTAATTACGCTAGATGTCCTAGAAAATAGTTTCTAGGAGCAATCTACGAAGGTGTTAATTATTTGTACACTGCATCCATTATCTTAATTTGTTACCACAATAACTATTATAAGTTACTACAGCTTGTAAGAACACGTCAAGCCTAAGCTGTATGGCAGATTTTTTTTAGCTCTTGATTACTTTCAAAGTTACATTCTGAGCTATGAGCTTACATTGTTGCAAGGCATATGTGTCGAAAGAAACTTAAGCATTGGTACTAATATGTTGGAAGATTTTGAATTTTGTATCTAAATTAAAGTTTTAATGAACGTATGTTTATATTTTTTGACTCGAGTTATCCAGATTACATTTTTTGGGCTGTGGACGAAGTATTCTTTTTAATTCAATTCGTCACGTGTTAACAATGCCACCTCTTATGTAGTATAAATTGTTGCACATTCATAAACATAAAGTTAATAGTGGGACTTGAAGTAGAATAAAATAAGTATTACCTTCTCTGAATAGATTGTAAAAACGTAGCAGCCTTTTTGTGACTCAAAACTATACATACGTATACTATTAACACAAGTTAAATACATATTATTGGTTAAATTAGGGACCCAACAGTATAACTCTTTAACTGGTCTTAAGTTTACAAAGCGATGTTATTTCTTATGGGTCTGTCTAAGAAAAGGTTTTCTCTTTTTGCATTGGCCACTGAAAACATTAATTAAGCCCTCAAAATATTGGCTTCTGATGAAATGTCTTGTTAGAATAGTAATATTAAAAACATTGACCTTTAATAACATTGATTACAAATAATACCAGTCTTTAATAAGGTAGACATATGATAATATTGACATCTGCTAACATTGGTTATTCAATTTATATTGTGGTAAAGCGTGACTAATCAAATTAACTCCAAATGCAAATTACACTGAAAAGAATCAGTCCTGATATAATCGTAATGATCACATTCTGTCATCATTTTAAAAATACTAAAAATGTCTCGCCATTTTGACCTCTGTTTACAAATTTGGAAGATTGCCGAAAAATAGGTTAAAGAAATATTTCATCATTTATGTGCGTATTTGTAGTTGATAGAGGAGTTTTCATCAATTGCGTCGTCAAACTATATTAATTGTAACATATAACTTTAATAAATGAGAAAAAATAACTGGGAGATCAAAGAAATAAAAAATAAAGGTATGTTGACTTCGTACAACATCAAAAAAAGAATTTGTACTCCCAAAGTTCTGTTTGAAGAATACTCAACCCGAGAAATGGTTTTTGATTTTTTTGTAATTTTTGGCAATATGACGCCCATAGTTATATTCTTCTAGTAAGTTACCGTACTTTTGCAGTTGTTCTATACCATCATGTGGAAATAAATTTCTGTCTAAGTTAAGATGTATTTAGTTGATACTCTTTAGGCATGTTCAAATTTATTGGTGGATCCAATTTGACTAATATTATTATAAAAGTATCAGATCATACTTTTACTTGCTTTTGCCTAATTTTTTTTTATTATATTTTATTATAGCATATATGGTTCAGTCCATCGTTTCCACATTTTTTGGAGTCTGTTTTCCACACACTGTAGTATGTGACGAAGATAACGACGAGGTGTTTATTCAATTGTATGAAGCCTCCTCTGCGTAAGTATATTTTAAACCTACAACTTTAAATATGCCGCTAAAAGCCCAATACAAAAAAAAAGTAAATTCAGCGTCAAAGTCATCACTACAATAGTCTTACTTGAAAAATGTGTACAAGAGTTTTTTCCAGGAGCTGACATTGAAGCATTTTTATGTAAAAAAGAGCCTTTGATGATGGTGGTAAATGGTGAAATGGAACGAACAAGCGCTTGGCACTTCGTTTTTGGGAACCATTTTTGAAGAAAAATTTCATCTCAAATGCTTATCCGCATTTATTTTGCCTTGTGTTCCTCTAATTCCTGAACACATGAAAAGAATGGTGCATCCTGACGTATCTCCAAATCATTTTGAAGAAGGCATAAAAAATGGGTACTATATGGTCAGTCTCTCTCTTAATCAAACATTTGGACCTCCCGAATTTCATGCAACAGAAGGTATGATAAAGATTATTGTCTATAACTTGGAATTGTACATTTCAATCCCACTTTTTCTGACCTGGTACTATTTTTAGATCAGGAAAGTGACACAGAAATTCCTGAAGATGCTAACATGCAACATAACCAAAACTTTCTTAATTCGGATAACGACGAAATCGAAAGTAAATCTGATATGGTTTCACACACAGAAAATGAAGATGAAGATAGACTAGATAGCACCCAAGACAGCATAGAAACTGAAAATGTTGAGAGTAGTGACGAAGAGAGAGATCAGTATGATAATTTATCATCACAAGGTAATGGAGAATCTACCACATCTCGTGAAATTAATGAGAGGTATGATGTCTCTTCTCAGGAACAGGAACCCAATGTTATACAGAAAACGGTTATCATAGCTTCGGATACTTCTGAATCCAGTCGGACTACACAATCTTCATCACCTAGTAGTAACACTCTTAGTATAGTTGCTGCATTAAAAAAATCTCATCTTCGAAGTAGCAGTCAATACAGCTCTTCTTCCGAAAAAAGCAAAGGCTCATCGGTGACACCACCTTTTCGCTTTGGCAGTAATAACACTGCCCAACAAAATCTAAATATATATATTGCAAATTCAAGAAGTACCATGCCATCTTCCAAATTTTTTAAAACATTAGGACCAAAAAATGATAAATCAAGACCAAAAAAGCAAGTAATAGCTCAAGAAAAAACGAGTATGGCTTATTATAGTAGCACAAACGTGATAACCCATATGTGTATCACTAAACAATTCGATATTTTTTCCCCTACTGTTTAGATGATTATGCTGCGTCAGAAACTCCTGAAATTCAGGAACGTCAGTTATCTCCTGCTTCCTTCGAGAACACAAAAACAAAAGTAACTCGGTATTAAGTATGGGTGCATATCAATTTTTCTAACGAATTATTTAGTATGGTAAAAGAAAAAGATTTATTTCGTCTGGCAATAATGAAAAAATCCAAACATCTTGCGATCCCGAGTCATCAAAAACTAGTAATATTCATACGCCTCCAAACAATGAAGTTGTGTCCTACGACGATGGTCAGTCAGACGAGTTTGATAAAGTTACATCAGATTCGGACTTCTCTGCTGAAATGCCTAAAACAAAATAAGAAACAAAGGCAAAAATTCTGCAACTAGTAGCAGTAGACTTAAAGACAGTTCAAAAGGGAAAAAGAAAGAGGGTGGTAAAAAAAATGATAGTACAAAAAAGAGTTATGGCTCTATGGAACAGTATATTTTTAAAATCTAATATGTCTTTGCAATCCCCCACCCCCCATTTTTGTTTATGTAAAAGATGCATACATTACTTATGAATAATTTATTTATAAATGGCGTTGCTAAATTCAATGATTGAAACTTGAGCCAATTATTTTAAAGTGGTATTCAAAACCATAGATATCTTATTTAATTTGCGTAATACAGCTCAATAGTGCCTACAATATTATACAATAAATTACTTTTGGTCTTGGTTACCAACCCTTAATGCACTTTAAAAATAACTTGTTAACACAGATCATATTTTTTAGGCCACAGCATTTTGGCATGTGAAGCATCAGAGGTTTTTTTTCTTTGTCTTTTTCTTTTTGCATGGACTACACATGTATTTTTATGTCTATTCCGATGGTGCTACATAATATTTACACAAACACCCGTATTCTTTTTACTTAGTATAAATTTGGATGTAATTTCGACCATCTAGCTACACATAAACCAGTCATTAAGATGCAAATAGGATCTTACGAAAGAAAATAAGCAGAAAGGCGGTGAATAAATTGTTGATACGACTTATTTTAAATTTATGGGGCAACTAATTCGTACAGCAATATTTCAGTTATTTTCATTATCGTTAAATAAAAAATAACATCAGACACTACAGGAATAAATAATAAATAACAAAATATTACAAGTAACACTATCGTAGCATAACTCCATATGACAATCCATAACCTTTTATTGACGTAGACAATCAAACGAAAGGTTTTTTGCTAAGAAATTTAACAGGCAACATTTAGCATATATAAAAAACCATTCAAAACGGTTGAGTTCAGTAATACAATGAGAAAAAGTAGAGGAGTGGGTGCAAAATCAAATGAATACAACATCAAATCAAGAGAACACAACTTCAAATAAAGTGAATACAACTTCAAATAAAGTGAATACAACTTCAAATAAGTGAATACAACTTCAAATAAAGTGAATACAGCTTCAAATAAAATGAATACAACTTACTACAACTTCCGAAAAAGTTAGCAAGACTCTAAAAAAAGTGAATGCAGACTATAATAACTGAAAATCGAAGCGTGCATAGCAGTAAATTGAACTCTTAATCCGGAATACGCAAATAACTCATGACGATAAAGCACTCAAACCTTAATATGTAAAACACACATAATACTAATGAAGTACAATCCATTCCTTAACAAACGAGTTTCGCCCGGAAGCTATCAGTTTTTCGCATCATCCTATGTATTTTGTGCGGCCTTGCTGGCTAAATAGCACCATGTGAAAAATAAAATGAGAGCTAACTTTGCTATAAAAACGGATTCTTTGTCAACTTCGTAGTTTTCATTCAATTAATTAATAATATTAATATTTAAAAACAATGGTTACAGCTTTATGCGACAGAGTTGTCGTTACACAAAAAACCCCAAAAATCAAAGTACTAAGTGCCCAGTCAATCTCTTTGGAGGCGAAAGGTGTGGACTCGAGTTTGAGACTCACGTTTTTTGTTTCTGGGGCAAATTACCCACTAATGTTCTACTTCTTAAGGTTTTTTAAGGAGGGAACTTCTCACAAGATAACTAGTAACATATATTTTAAAATCATCTGAAATATAGTTTTTCTAATAGCGATTTACTAATTAGGTAATCTAAATGTCTCCGCATACACGTTTGACGATTCAAACAAAGCCTTTGCGTCTATCAGAATTGGTGTAACTTCAATTGCACCAATTCGAGAAGTAGATCACAATGGTCACTTTTTAGGCGCTGGTTTCTCCGCAGGATGCACACCAGTATCAGAAGAAATTTTTCCTTTGTCTGTGGAATACCAGAAATGCAAATATGTGGTCTTGAAGTATGTCTGGGACAACTGGGACAACAATCTTTTAACAGAAGGAAAAAAGGATTTTTTGAGAGAGATGTTTAGTGACAATCTGGAAGACCTGTTCGAAGATTTGGGTAAGCTTTTTATTGATTACGATGTATTTACGCTGCCAAAAAAAAATGTACTGACAAAACATCAAAGTTGAAATGAAACTGTTGTTACCTATGTTCAACCCAATTGCAGTTCAAGAAACCATGGTTAAGCGACTAAAATAAACTCTAACAGTACTAGAACAGGAAAAAAAGTTTCTATCAAAATTCCCAATCCTAATGTTCAGCTCACGGACATCTTGTCTGAACATCTATTGTTGTTAAGTTTAGTTGACGATTCTATTCCTTTCGACGCTGCGTTATTTGCAACTGCTCACACCAACATGGATCATTAATTTTTTTCTCTCTCTCAATAAACACGATACTTTTTTTTAAAGATAATGGTTTTCAAATGTTTGCTGACCAAAAAAACACAATGTTATTGTCTTGGCAAAAAGCTGGAAAATATAAATAACAGTAAATTTGCTATGAAGCAGCTTAATAATTATACTTCATTTATTTTTTTAAATCCTTGTCAAACTTTAAAATGTCAACTAGTTCAAATATGAGAGACTTCATGTCTAGATTCCGTGTTCAAGATAACTCACTAATGTCATTTTCACGTGCTGAAAGAAACGAAATTCTCGATTTTCAAGCGTTTTCTGCTCAAAAACCTGTTGGTGTATGCTGCGTTTGCTTACGAAAACTTTACGTTGAAGAAGTTGGCTATCGTAAAATTGAAAATATTAATTTTGTCAATTGCTCCCAATGGAATATCACTCCCTTCACCCAGGTTGATAATTCAGGAGTTACCAAATACATGGTATGCAAAGATCATCTCATGATGAGAGAAAATGAATTTCCTATATATGTTTATCCTGGTATGTGTATAACAATGAACAATTCAAAATATGACTAAAGATACTAAATAACAATTTGACTTACAGGCGAGGTTCTGAAGGAAACCAAAGGTCTCAACTACCGTGAAAGGTGTGCAATCTCTCCCATAAAGCTGATGACGCAAAATACTCGCAAATCCAACAATCAAACAGGCTATATAGGTCACTACGAACTTTCTGGTGCAGTCAATATTAAGCATAACTTTGAATTTGCCGAAATGGCGTATGGTAGCACTCTTGGTCTATACTATAAGCGTGGTGATCCTCGAATAATTGACAAAAAAAAGGTTATTGCAGCCTATGAAGCCTTAAAAAATGTTCACCCTCTTTTACGAAGATATGAACTTCCACCCTTGATGTTTTCTCTTGTAAACTACCACATAAAAGAAAGCTCAAAGTTTATTGGTATCAAAAAGGTTGATGGGCAGATCCAATGGCCGGACAATTGCTTATTTGCAGAAAATAATATCAGTCCAGAAGCTGCTGGCGTTGAGTTTTCGGACTTGATTATAGGGAAAGATGGATCAACTGGATCTTACATTAGGCTATCGACCGAAAGTTTACTTGCTTTGATGTTCCCTCATTTGTATCCGAAATGTCAAGGGCATTATTCCATGTCAACCCCAACTCCAGAAAATACTGCTACTGAAGAAAATCATGGTGGAATTGCAAAAGCTACTTTATACAAAGAGACACTGAAGGGATACACCAGATTGAGACTACTTATGGCAGACCGTCGTTTTGCCCAAGACCAAGCTTTTATTATTTTTCTTTTAGACTGTACTGAAAGGAACAATATAGCAACATCCAATCGATTGGTCGTAAGTACAAAAGGAAGAAACAACCTCACCCAGCGCGACATTATTGATCCCCACACCAATACGTACAACAAAAATATTGTATCCAACGTACCATACATTGTCCGTTCATCCTTTGCCTATAAGAGAAGAAATTATTTAAATCTGTCAACTGTTTTCCAAAATCTCGGTTCTCCTCAGCTTTTTCTTACCTTTAGTTGTAACGACTTTAGCGAAGATTTTTCTGCCGCTACTGGTACCAAATACCCATGGAAGGATCCTGTTCTTTTTTCAAACCATTTCCACAGAAAATGGATTCGTTTCTTTGACAAGCATATTTTAGGTAGCTTTGCTAAAACTATTGGAGGCATATCCGATTACAGCTGGGTACTGGAGATACAAGATCGAGGTAGTCCTCATATCTATTGTGTTCTTTGGACCAAAAAAACTGTCGAGGATTTAATTGCTTTAAATGTCATTACCTGCAAATTATACTCCAAAGATTTTAATGATGATCCCTTAATGCATAGATTAGTTCTCAAACATCAAATTCATGAATGTCAAGATGCGTGAGTATTTTTTTTTTTTTTTTTTTTTTTTTTTTTTTACAAGAATCTAAATGATAGTTCATAGATATTGCAAACTACATCTTACAGGTAAATGCCGCTTCGGTTACCCTAAACAACCAGCACCAAGGACTGAATTTGTAGAAGATGAATGTATATATGAAAGAGGTGTGGAGGATATGAAAGTCAATGGATATAATCCTTACTTGCTAGGAGTCTGCAGGGCTAATATGGATATACAATAGAACAAAGGTGAAGCAGCTGTTAGATATCTCGCAAAATATATGGCAAAAAATGAAACGGAAGCTATATTTGAGATTGTCAACAAAGGCAGCTCTGGCAGTTATAAAATCAAGAATGATAAGACCGAAAAGGAGCATTTCAAAAATAGAATTGTTGGTGTTGTTGAAGCAGTATACGATATAATGGGATGGCATAAGCATCAATCATCAAGAGCAGTAAATTTTATACATACAAGTTTACCTGGTGATGAGAGAAGACTACTAAGACGTGATATCAAAGAAATTAATCCCAACAGCAACAAGATTTTTACAAGAACTCATCACAGCAAAAAAAATTATGTCCGATATGTCGTATAATGGTATTTTGATGTCTTTTTGATGTCATTTTTGTCAAGCGACATAAAAAATAAGTCTCTTTTATGGAGGAGCACAAAAAATAGTTTAATAAAATAGAAATTCTATGTCAGCCGCAAAAAGAACATGTGTGATATGAGAATTTGATGACCAGGGACATAAAAGTAATAGTAATATTATGATCGCTTTCAAAAGGACACAAAATATATGTCTCTCATACGTTCTTTACTTATATGTTTTTTTTGAGGCTGTATAAAAAAAAATATTGATGGTATATATTGTTCAAATGATAATTAGAGCCAAAAATATGGAAATTTACTAAAGGCTTTAACTTTTGCAAGGTACTGTGCTATATGTATTACAACAGATTAATCATAGTTAAGGCATACTGTATATTCGACGAATTATACAAAACTAGTGAAGGGCATCAAGAATAAACGATTGATCATATTTGAGTAGGCTTTGGATTAAAATTACAGAACAAGATACTTCTTTTTCG